GTATATTAAATTTATTTTTGTATTTAAATTAAATTTTTTTATAACCATTTTGTTTGTATAAATTTCCATACTTATTAATACTGATACAATTTTAATTTACAAAATCATTTTCTAATATTAGTTTGCATGGGAAATAATGTTAAAATACATATTTTACACTTTCAGCGTGTGGCAGCATGTCGACTGTATGGGCATCGATCGTCAGAATATACCCGATGAGTACCAGTGTGAAGTATGCCAGCCGCGATCGGTGGATAAGGCGCGCGCACGTGCACTGCAACTAATGAAACGCAAAGAGCAAACTCAGCTTTTACTTTCGGCACAGTCAGCACATGCGACCGGTTCCACTGGCGCTTACTTAAGTGGCGCTAGCGGAGCAGGCAACCTGAGTGGCAATTATCAGTTGCAAGATGGACAACAAAGGCATCTAGGCGTCAGCAACTCAAATGCGTTTATGTTGGGTAGCGGCGTTGACGGCAACATGCATGGACTGCCAAATACAACGACGCTCGGCACGACCAAGAAAGGTAAGGTGTTGAAGAAAACCGCCAAAGATGCAGCTGCTGGTAAGAAATCTAAAAAAGCCGAGAAACTGGCTGCTTTAGGTGGCAAACCGCCGCGCAAAGACTCGGGCGCCACCAAGAAGACAACGAAACGCAAGTCGAAGAGTAGCGATGGACTGAGCGCCACTGCAACCGCTGCAGAAAAGCATGCAGCCAATCTGCGCCAATGGATTGAGAATTACGAATTGGCCGTAACCAACCACTATTCGCCCGAGTTGCGTGCGCGTCTACATGCGATCACCAAGCAACCGAGTCTGCTGCAAAGCATATTAAATACGGAGAATCGTGCACTGAAGGAGTGTTGCAATAATGGCTTGGAGAATCGCGCCACCACTGTGCCACATGCAGGCGGTAAAATACTTATTAGCAACATGGATATTGCGCCGAGTTGCCCCATCTTCGAATTGCGCGGCAAATACATGCTTAGTCCGCAGTATAAAACACAAAACGCGTCGGTGAATATGAATTCGCCGCCACCCAGCAATTTTCTAGCAGCTACGCTAAAAGCGCATAAAACGCCTGGCCCCTTCATTTTCTTTTACCAGTTACCGGACGCAGAGGCGCCCATGCAAACGATGAACCAAGATGGCTCATATCCACCGCTGCCGCCACAACCAGCTTATCTCAAGGGTCCGGAGATATGCGTCGATACACGTACCTACGGCAATGAAGCGCGTTTCGTGCGTCGCTCATGTCGACCCAATGCCGAAATACAGCATCTCTTCGAGAAGGGCACAATACACCTCTTTATTGTGGCAACAATGCGCATACGCGCAAGCACCGAGATCACCATCAAGCATGAGCCACACGATTTGCTGGCGATTGATAACAAAAAGGCGACCGCCAGCAATTGCATTGTGCAACCGACGAGCACAGCATGCGCATGCGGCCTACTCAAGGATTGCCTCTTCGGTCCACCGCCGACGCAACAGTCTTTGGGCGCGGGCGGCGCAACGAAATCCAGCAGTCGGAAGTCAGCGCTCTCCACCACCTTAAATGGTGGCGTACAGCTCAACAGCAGCGCGGCGGCTTTGCAACTGACTATGGGTGGGTTGCCAGCTGGCAGCAGCAAGAAGAAAGGCGCCACGCAAAACATCAATCGCAATCGTTCGACTTCGTCCAGTGGTGACAGCAGCATCGGCACAACCGTCGCACCTGGCATGAATAGCCCGAGCGTAGCTTTGCCTACAGCGCCGCTGAATATGAACGCCAGCCTGAGCAATAGCTCGTACAAAAGTAATGGTGGTCTTAACATTTTGTCGGCGCACGCGCTTGCCGCATCGGCTGTAGTGCCCAATAGCAATGGCAATATGAGCGCCACCTCCTCGGTTTCGAGTGTAATGCATGATTCGGGTATTTGTACTTCGTCATCGTCGCCATCCGTCTCGATACCATCACCTACAATCTTACACATGCACTCACCGACGCCACAGGCGCAGTCGCAACCACAACAGCAGGCTCAGCAGCAGCAGTCCGTACCAGCAGCAACGGGCGCTCAGCGCGGCAGCACTGGCGCGCTCTTTGTGCAACACAGTCCGCAGCAACAGCAACAACACCAGCAGATCTTAGGCGCCTTGCCTACACCGTTGCTTTTATCGCCGTCACAGCAACTAGTGCAGCTGCCACCACAACCGTCACAACAACAAGTACCAGCTACAACTAACAATGTAAGTGCACCCCTGTTGCAAGAGGTGACCAGCGCTGAAACAACAACGCCTACCGCATTGGCACCAGCGGGCGGCTCAACGCAACCGCAGACGAATTTACTCATTCAACAGTCGCAAGAGCAACAACTGCACCACAGCGAACTCGCTGGTCCGACAATAAGTGACGCGTCTTTGGCCGCGGCGGCAGCGCTGCAATCGCTCAACACTGCTGTGACACTAACCAGCAGTTGCGCAACGTTAGCGCCAAGCGCCGCAATAACCAATAACAGTAGTGTTGTTGTTATCACGCCTGAAACCATAACGCCTCGCGCAGTTGATGCGAGTGAGGTCGAACAGCAGCAGCAACAGACACAATACTTTGTTGCCACCCCCATGCCGCCAGCAGCTCAACAGGATTTCGTTGATGGCAGCATGCAAGAGGCAGCACCTCAGCAGCAACAACATCAACAACAACAACAGCAACCAACACAAACTTTAACCACTGTTGAACTACCACCACCGACACAGACTCCTGTTGCTATTGGCGCCGCCTCGCCCAACGCTGGCCCGAAGTCGCCACAGAAGCACAGCAACAATGCAGTGCACGCCGCGTACGTACCACCGAATACTGCGCGTAGCCATAAAACGCCTGGCACCAAGTCGTCAAGCTCGCGTTCCACGAGTTTCTCGGAGGACGATCATCAACAGCAGCAACACAACACGAGCAGCGGTAGCGTCAATGATGACTCAACTGTCGTGACACCAAACTCAAAAGATAAGCCAAAGCTTTCACGCGAAGATCGTAAAATGGAAGCCATATTGCGCGCGATTGAGAAAATGGAGCGAAATCAGCAACGTAAAAATCAAACCAAATCTGGTGGCAGTGCGTCTTCCGGTGCCACTAAGCGACGCAATAGCAATAGTAATTCGCCAACCACGCCCACAAAACGTAGCATGGGCGAGCTGAGCAACAGCAGCGGACGCGTGTCGGCGGCTAATGCGCGCAAGAAAAAACGCAAAGCACACAAATCGTACAGCGGTCATAGCGCACAGGCGCGCAAGCGGCGCAAAAGTCGCATGAACAGCAGCAACGAATCCGTTGACGACACAGGCAATAGCGCTGGCAATGCCAACGCGCATTCGGAAGCAGAGTCCACATCGTTGTTATCACCAGCCGCGCAATTAGCAACCACAGCGCCCAATTATCAGCATACGCAAGCGGAGCACAGCGATACGCTCGCTACCACTAACGAAGATCAGGCTGCGGGGCTGCTGCTCGCTTTCGCCAATCCCAATCTGAAAATGTCGCCGACGCCGCAACAATCACCGCAAGCAGTGGCCTCACCAACCGCACAACAGCAGCAACAGTATGCGACGCACTACGCGCTGGAGCAATTGAAATCGCCGCAACATCGCACGACAACCAGCAGTGGCAATGGCGCTTCACCGCCTGCCACGCCAGTGAGTTCCGCCTGCCTGCTAATCGAAGCGGCTGTTGGCCCACTGCAAGAGCACATGGACGGCGCTAGCCCAAGTGGTGAGTTCAAATACCCCAATAAAACTAAAACGAAGAAAGTGCTCATGTCCAATTGGCTACTGAATCAAGTAGATGCCGATACCAGCGGTAGTGACTCGCCACCGCCGACTGCGCCAACACCACCACCAGCCACGAATAATAACGGCGCTGACGCCTTAGTGCCACAAACAACACCCTTGCCAACTGGCACAATGCTGGGCTTGGACTCTTTGGTACAAGCGGCGACAATGTGTGACTACAGGAAGCAGCACAACGAGGCGGACGCCAGCTATATGCCCAACGATGCGCATTGTGGCACGCCCATGAGCGTAGATGAACCAGAAAATCTCAGCATGGCAGCCCAGAAAGTCGAAGAGTTCATACAGCAAACAGAGCGTGGCAACAGCGGCGTCTATAATCCGACCACAATCGCTGGTGCTGGCTGTACGCCACGCAGTCTGCTTCATCTGCCGTTGCAGGTGAGCACTTGCAGCAATAATTCCTCGGTCAAGAAACGTTGGTTGCGCCAAGCGATCAGCGAGGAGACCACCACAGATGAGTCGATGACGCCGACACCTACCGCTGCAACCATGTCCGCGGGCTTGCAAAATGCCTCACCCACAACCGCGGCGGCGGCCGCGCACTTGAACGCGGTGCTGAATGTGCCCAATGGCTTTACGACGCCGCTGAAGAAGCGTCGACTTATCATCAGTGGTGACGTGAAGGAGGAGGAGGATATGGGTGGCAGCAGTGTTGCTTCACCGGCAGCTGGCGTTAGCAACGTCTTCGAGTCGCCAGTAGTTGGACTAGTCAAGGCAGAACCAACAGCAACGGCGCTTAGCGCCGGAAGTATGCACACAAGGGCAGCGGAGCAAGTGGATGTGATGAATGTAAACGCTGGCGTAACGTCAAGCGCGTGTATAAAGCATGAGGCTGAGACGAGCGATGAGGAGGAAGTCGATGAAGAGGAGGATGATGCGGAGGAGGAGCGCGATGATGTCGATGTCGTAGGTGGCGTTGGCGTACATGAGCTGCAAACAACTGCAACAACAACAATAGCACATGTGGCAGATACAAGTTTTAAGCTGGAAGTAACTACAAAAGAAGAGCGCTTGTTGGAAGCGCCACAACAGCTGGAGACAGCAGCGGATGAGCTGAAGCCGGATGCTATGCTTATTGATCAAGACGACGATGTGGATATTTTGCGTTCGCCTAGTCCAGGACATCAGCAAATGCTCGCGGCGGAAGATAATCTGGTCAAAATCGAACCGGAAGACACAAGTGGCGGCGATGATGTTAAAATTGATGTGGAGCGCGAAGAGAGCATGGCGGGTGATAAGTTTGAGGAGATGGTGTTAATGCAAGTGAAGAAGGAAGAGGCCGCAAATGACGTTGCTGAAAGCTCAATTACAATAGCAGCAGCAGACGCTGCTAAAGTCAGTGCAGTGGAGGATGAAAAGCCCATAAAATCTGCGCCGACTGAAGAAAATGCTCTTGTGGCGAATGAAAAACCATATCAGCATTTGTTTGACCTTACAAAAGTGGCGCAACCAAAGAAGGAAGAGCATACACATACATTTACAGCAAGTAATCCTAAAGTGGAAACTTCGCAATCTTCGGAGTCTACATACACCACTGCAGTTGCGCCTGTGGACGCTCAGGAGCGCCTATCCACCACACCTACCAAAACATCGCCATTGAAATTACTCACACTCGATGGCAGCAGCGTCATTACGCCTGATGAGCCGCTCAAGAAACGTCTCAAGTTGGAGACCTCACTTGTGGAGACCTCAGCTACAATGACAGAGGTGCAGCAAACTTCGTTGCTAAAACCGTTATCTGCGCGCATGCACGAGATGTCAAAGCAAAGTGACAATAATGATATTGTGCCAAGAACAACGGCTGCAACTGCTCCACCCACAGCGACGCTGAAAGTTGAGAATTGCACGCCCAACACGCCTGCAACCGCTGCCACACAACCGAATTGTATGACATTTTTAGCCGCAGCCGCAGCAGCTGCTATTGAGCGCAAACCACCACCACCACCACCAGCAATTACAACGGCTGCAGCGCAGACGCCAATTACTACACAGTTTACAACCACAATTGGGTCAATAGCTGCAAACATCAACAGCGTCACAGCGGTAGCGTCTGCCGTCAACGCGTCGAACTCGGAAGCTGGTACTGTTAATGTGAATAATGTGGCAACGCCAATGTCTAATAACGGTAGCGTTTCGACGGCGCTCGCACCGCGCAAACAGAATGCCGCTAACAACAATAATAGCAATGAACGCAAAGTACCGCTAACCGATGATGACATACAAGCCTGTCTGCATTCCTTCCACAAGGAGAATATATTGATCTTACAGTCACGCAACAACAAAAAGTCGAAATCAAATACCACCACAGCAACAGCGCTTGGCGGTGGCGCCAACGAGTTGGTGGCTAAAAGTGCTAAGTTTATGGAAAACAAATCGTCAGCCACAACGAATTATTCGTCGCATCACAGTCATCATTCTACGCATGCGCATGCGCATGCGCATAACGACACCGCGAAAAGTGTGGGCAGCAGCAGCAAACACAGCAGCGCCTCCAAGTCGTTGACCAATTCGAGCAGCAGTGGCTCGTCTTCGACTAAGAAACTGCATAAGAAGGAGCGCAACGGCAAGGAGCGTACCAGCAGTAGCAGTCGTTCTTCTTCGGCGCACAGCGGTAAATTGTCGAGTTCTAGTTCGAAAAAGGTGTCTTCATCATCATCGCATAAAAAGGATTATGTCAGCGGCAAAAGTAGCGGCAGCTCCACACCGGTGCCGAGCACCAAACAACAAACACATAGCAGTGCATCCAATTACAACAACTCGACCAACAGCAACAGTGCGTCTGCTGGTAGCGATGCCAAAGATCGCGCTGATGAACGCCGCGAACGCGACAATAATCGCTTCGATAAAGAGCGCCATCATCATCGTCATCGCACCACGTCGTCATCATCGAATGCCAGCACTGCAGTGCCACAATCACAAACACTCGCTGCGACCAACTCAACCACATCCACGCCACCGCCGCCCATCAACAAGAAGCGTCAGCTGAATTTCGAGCAGGAACTCACGAAAGATTTGCCATTGGTGAATGCTGTCACCAGCAACAGCAATCGGCATCGCAAAGACAGCGGCAGCCGAGACAGTCGCGAGGATATGTTTAGCTCATCCTGCTCAAGTAGCAACAGTAGCCTGGCGGCGCGTAAGAGACGCGAGTCTTCGTCCTCTTCGGGTGGCGGCAGTCGGCATCGACATAACAGCGGTGGCAGTTGTGGCGGTGCGGACAAAGACGCTTTAGCCGCACATAAATCGGCGGTAGCTGAACATAACGGCATATTAGCTAGCGCACACGTGTCACCGCTGCCACCACCCACCTATGTGCGTGAGCATGTCGCCATACCGCACTTCAATAATGTCGTCGTCAGCGGTCCACCACCACCGCTCATGGCCGCTTACTTCAGTGGCATTGGTGCGGTGACTGGCAGCAATGTAGACGCCTCCATGGGTACACCCATCGCCACCTATGTACCAACGCCAGCCATGCCGCCTACTGTAGGCACAGCATCGCAACCGACACACAATCACAACCTCTTGAAGACACTTCCCATGCAGCCAGTGCTTAGCCATTTGAGCGCAGCAGTGCATATGCAGTCAACACTGCCAACGTTGTCTTCGTCCAACGGCGGTAATGTAACGGTGTTGCCGTCATCCTCGGCTACAGTGATGCCACCCGCAATGCACTCTCCCGGGGCCGCTGGAGGCTTGCTGCCTGGTAACAGCGCCGGCGTCAATTCGGCAGCGTCGACCTACAATAGTATTTATGGTAAATTGCGTGATAATCCTTCCACCATAGTGCCGCCGATATTGAGCGCTGTAACATCCACGTTAGCAGGTGGTCCGTCAGTGACTCCGAGTGGTGGCGTCAGCAAAACAGCCATAACCGCGGCAACAGCAAATACTTCAGCGAATATCAGCCTATCTGAATATTTGGACACTAAAGTGAAGAGCTACAGCACCACATTGGGCGGCTATGCAACACCAGCACACACTTATATTGGTGGCAGTGGCACTACCAGCGCGGCCGGCAAAACAACGAACAACAACACATCGAGTAATAGCGCAACCGCCGCGGAAAGTATAACCGCTATGGTAACACCACTAGAGTCGCCAGCTGCTAGCAAATTGCCAACACCACTAAAACTACCGCTTACAAGAACCGCTAGTCACGATCCGCGTCTCAATCCGCAGTTAAATGCACCCGAACCGCCGCCAGCGCCAAAACGTAAGCTCTCCATCAATGAGTATCGTAAGCGTATGCAATTATCAACGGACAGCACAACGCCATCAACACCCGAACCACCGGCGGTTAGTAGCACGGCGTCGACGCCAACGGCACACATGACGCCCACTTCGCTGAACAACAGCTTCGTGCAAGCTTACAATAGCATTGTGAATGCTTCGCCCGAGGAGATGGCGCGACAGTTGTCAGCATCGCCAACAACACTAACACTTAACAAGTATACACTCAATTCGCCGGAACGCAAGCGTCGGCATAGCGGCTCGGACAAAGAGCAGCGGCATAGCGTGTCTTATGATGATGTGTCCGGACTGTTGAACAGTAGCACCGGCAGCAGCAGCAGTTGTGGCAATGCGAGCGATAACGCGTTGACGAATGTGAACCACGAAGACGAAGGCAGAAAAGGTGAGTAAAAATCTTGCAAATTAAAGTAAAAATGATGGGAAAGCCATAAGAGATATTAAAATAAAAATATAGTAATTTGAAAATATAACGAAGTTTTAAGCATAATAAAGTGATACATGTATTTTTTTTTTTTTACAAAATAAAATATTTTTATGTGAACATTA